AGAGAGAGAGATAGATAGATAGAGAGATGGAGAGAGAGAGAGGGAGAGAGAGGGAGGAGGACAGAGAGTAATTAATTCGAGCTTTTTGACCTGTTTGCTTTTTCATGACACGCTACGTATCTTTTGGGAAAAACTACCTTCAAATATTCACGCTGGGATATTTTATGCACGATGCAACGGATATTTCTGCCAATCGCTCCACGCGTCGTTCTGTAGCCATAATCGGTGTAAACTGGCTCTCTGTGGCTCCAGAACTTTCCGCCAGAAATTCACTGCAAGCTGATTAACTCTACTGCTGTACAGGAAGTCCATACATTTCTCTTTCTCTCTCCCTCTCTCGTATGTTGTACGCATGTCGTATCAACCACATCCACATCGTATTTACTCTGCGTTATACCGTGTTTCGCACTTAGTGCGTTACCGGTTCATGCTTTTAGTACCTACTGAGGGGTACTGTGCTTTGTCATCGATTTCTATTAATCTCTAACGTGTACAAGAGGAACGTTCAGAGGCAAACCGAGAAAGGTGTGCAAAAACGTACAAATACATCTTCTTTAAACAAAAAATTGTATTCATGAAGTGGAAATTTTTTAATATACACATACAAAATTTTTGCAAATATATAAATTTCGCATTTCATGTATAACGTGAATACTTATTACGTCTATGATATATATATATATATATATATATATATATATATTTAATTAATAAAATAACGAAATAAATATCAAGATTTATTTTAAATAATTTCTTTCTTATTAAATTTCTTTATAGCATAACTAAAACATCGTTTCTAAAAAATTATTGACAGAAATGTTGAGCATGAGAGCGTTTAAAATGTGGTTTCATTTAAAGTTCGTTTTTGTTTATTTCTTGTCGACCTTGTCAAAATGGCAGCTTAACAAGAAATAAAATTATATGAACGTCGTTTACCACAGGATTGGTTTTTGTTCATCTGCAGTTGCGTCTCTTCTCCAACAAGCCTCGTACAAACTTGTCAAACTTCTCGACATCGCTAACGGCTAGTAGCCGACAAAAGCAGAGATCGAATGACGATAAACGAGTTTGATATAATATGCTTGACTAATTTAAAGTTGTATCTATTAAAGTTAATCCGCATTAAAATGACTGATTTTTTAAATGATTCATCGATACTAAAATACTTTACAGAATATTTCTGCACAGAAATTATTCTTAAACGTGGCGTGATAGCCTTGAAGCAAAAGTTGAGTAAACTCTAATAATTTATAAGTTTCTCTTTATAAAATAAATTTGGATCAATTAAGATAAAGATAGTGCGTTGAGTCTGCCATATGTACCAAGATACATTAATTTATAAGTAGCCTATGAATTTTTGACTAGTAAATATACTGAGTTCTTGTTTAATTATTCATTGTGTGATGAATAAAAGATACTCTTTACATATGTAAAATACATATGTTTCATTTTAATTTATTAAATTTTCAAACCTCTGTCTCATTAAATATTGATTACGGACACGTCTATGAAATAAATTATCATTTTTATGCTTCGATTTTTGAAATATTGATTAAACAATGTACGATCGTTTTGTGTTTATTATCGAGATGTTTCTCAGTCGATTTTTATTATTAGATTCGTTGTTTCTGTATTTATAAAGGTAAGTAACGTTTCTTAGATATACGCAGATAATAATTCTGAATTCAGATCTAGTGGCGACACGTCTCTATTTCGGGAATCCTTTCGGGCGTAACAATCAATGATTGTATTTTCCTTAGCGTCACAGGGATCAGTTTGGCGACCCGTCCAAATCAACATAGATATAGCAGTACTCTCCGTCTGCGTTCAAAGATGTTTCTCCATTTGTGCTGATTTCCGCATGTTAGTCTCCGACCGTTTCCCATTATCTCTCGTCGCCTTTACGCACGTCTCTGAGCAAGCTTCCTTGCGTACGCCCCTTTACCTTCACCTTTTGCTCTTGATTCTCGTTTTCTGTAGGGGGAGATAGAGAGGACTCTTAATGGGTAACACATAGACCCCGGAAAGACAAGATATATGCGCTTTTCCGTGGAAGTTGAAGGCTCATGAACATTGGGACGGGAAACGGGATGAAACTGCCTTCCAATCCTCCCTCGTCGACGGCTTTCTTTTTATCTCTTTTTTTTCCTTGTTCAGAAAGCACATCGCCTTTGTTTCCGCAAAGACCACGTTGTAGAGACTTGCTAATGATTCGCGACGGCTTTATGAATATTTTACAAAAGAGAACTTTGTTGTTTTAACTTGTGTAATTCATTCATTTAATTTTTACTTATCGCAGCTGTCAATAATAAATGAGAGAAGGAACTGTCGTTTTCGTATATTTTATTACACAGAATTTTTTATTTATTAGATTAGAAATAGTTATGATTTTAATATTATTTATTAGACTCTATTTATGATTTAACGAATACAGATCTCAATGAATAATTTATTTATTTAGAAGTCAAACGTGATTAAAATATTTTTAATAAATCAATTAGTGTAATAGTTTAATAATTATGTGATAATTATAAGAATTATGAAATAATTATAAAATGAAAGTATTTAAATACAATTCTTTTATTGCAAATATTGCTAAATAAAAAAGAAGAGAGCTGTGTTCATTAAAATGTCATTTATTCCACTGTGTTATGCTGTAAAAAAAGGGTAAGGGGATCGTGTGGATCGTGTAGAGTCTTTTTACTTCCACTTACCGTGGATCTCGGCTTTGGCTAGTTGAAAGTTGAGAATTCTTTTTTTATGGAAACGGGAGATCTTTTTATAGGTTTTGTATAGGATGTCTTATCCGGAATACTGCTTGTCTCCGGAGACAACAACGTGATCCAATCAGTTGGTACGTTACTTGTTGCGAAACATGCTCATTCGAGTAACGAGGGAACGTGAATTCTCCATTTACCAAAGCAAAATGAATAAGAGAGAAGGAATATTTGTGGAACGAAGAAAATATGATAAGTCACGCGTATTGTAATCTCATTAGATTCTGTGCATCAAGAAATAGTATTGAATCTGAATTAGTCACTATCCTTGAGAAAGTTAAGCTCTCCGAGGAGAAAATAAAGAAGAAAATTCAGAAGTCGTTTCTAAAAACTTTCCAATTTCTTGAATTCTATTCCAACTCTTTGTTTCCAATTCTTAAAATTTTACACATTTTCATCATTTTTCATGAGAGATGAAAAATGATTTTCGACTTTGTTATTTATGTCTTCCATAATATGTACGATTATATTTTCGAAACCGGCGTATTTTATGTATTCGAGATAAAAAGTGACATTTAGAAATAAAATACGAAATATATATATTTAAGATAAGATTATATATTTATAAAATATTATAATATATTTATATAATATATTATATAATTGTATACTAAATATACATTTTTTATACATATTTATATATAATTTTATATTAGATATATAAATTTTACTTTATTGTAAATGTCATTTTTTACATTATATGTATAATATTACATGTAATATTTATATTATATTGATGAATTTTATATTTAATATAAAATTGAAAAATAACTTCGCGCGGCGGAAGACCTACGGAAGCGAAGAATATGTTCCCTCTCGAAATATGCGTGAGGTGTGTCGATAAATTTAATAGAAATTCTTGTATTCGTATTGCGCTGTTATGCCGCGATGACAGCTTTTTATGCATTTTACGTGATGCATTTCGCGCTCTGTTTCGATTTTTTATTGGGAAAAATTCTCTTTTTATCGCCTGTCTCATCTCGCGCATGTGGAATGTTTATCGCGTTATAACGCGTATATAACGTTACAGCGCGCATTGTCAAAGAGCATTTCTTACACGTGGCATGCGCCACACGTACGGACACGCACGTGCTTTCCCCTATTTTTCCGCAAATCGATACTAAGTTCTTCCTTTCAACTTTTCCGTATTGGATGGACATACACCGGTGACGCACAATGGCGATTGATTGATACTTACCTATATACGCCCGGCGTACGTCCGGATTTTTGTCGCGGATCCGTATCGCGTTTCAGACGAGAAGCGCTCTTGTCTTCGCCGTCTCTCGTCATTTATCGAGGGACGTGCAATTTGCGATAATATCGCTCGTATAAGGCCATCCGGACAGGAGTCGCACTTCGTCTTCTTCTTCTTGTTGGGACAGGAATCGCGATTAAGCGTTCGTTCCCGCAGCTATTTATACGCGATCGGTACTTTGTATCCGGCGCGACAAGTTTCTGCAGCCTTTGAGAGAGAGAGAGTGAGGAGGTGAGGGGGTGGGGGGGGGGGAGCTGGGCGGAAAAAGCGGAAATCATGTCGTCTTTGCTTCTCTTCGAAATGGGAAGTAGTGTAGATAGACGACATACTGGTATAGACGATCGCGTTTCTATTTATTTCCTGCACGATTCACTGGATGTTCGTCAAATCTCCCCTTTGATACCCGCTCTTTAATAGTCCTTTGTCGCTTATATTCGAATCGGAAAAATTCATCGTTTTTTTTTGTTGAGCTATGCAAGATACTACTTGAGAAAATATATATTAAATATTTTTAAGGAATAATATCTTGAGGTTAACACATGTTATCTGCCACGAGTTTTATAGGTATGTCTTACACGTGTACGTCGTAATAAAATTTTTATTATCGTGAGCATACATGATAAAATATTGTATAATATGATTAACTAACAATAAGACTCATGAGTAGAGTGTAAAATTACGTATTTTTTACTTTGGGTTGTTATCTAGCTGTTTATGTGATTCAAAATTTCATATTAAATGGCATTCACTTTTTACAAGTGTTTAAAAAAATGTAATTATGATAATACAATCATCAATGTATTAATTGCGAAAGAATAAAAGCTGTAAAATTGGTCCAGTACATGTTAATGCTACATGTTAAATTACGCGCTCCACTTCATAATTAAATTCAACTGATTAATTCATATAAGCATTAAAATTATACACCGAATTCTGTTATCAAGCTTGTTATTTTATTTATGTTTCAGCTGATATATTCGACCAGGTAAACGAACAAATCAAGAAATACGCTGGTCTGCAGGCGAATTGCGTAGGCGGTGGAAGAATTGAGCATGACCCCGACGAGAAGACCATCAAAGTTTATGGATATTCGACTGTAAGTCTCGGAATTTATCCGAATATTAATTATTTCGCCCGTCCCTGATTCGACTGATGTAAAAATATTTTATTTTTCATGCGTGATTTTTTTGCGTTGAAAATGACGGGTTTCTCCTGTAGTATAGTGTTAATTCACTCCAGCCTGTCTTATACGTCACAAAATTATAGCTGTTTAGTTTTTCAATTGTCATCCTGTATACTTCTCCATTTCCCGATTAACTTTTATTTTATTATTTACTGTGGAGTATTGCGCGCTGCATGCGTATGCCATTCATTTTCCACATGTCCAACGGCCTTGTTAATCGGAATTATGTTTGCATCTATCGAAGTAAGATTGACAATCAGTCGACATGAATGTCCAGAGAGAAAGAGAGAGAAAGAGAACCGTGATATTGCCCAGTGTCATGTGATGGCTTCAAACGCGAGAAGAGGAATATGCGTTGCAGTACCTATGATTAACAGCGCATAAACATTTTCACCCCATACTGTTACTCGTGACGAGTTTACACGCCCACGCGGCATCATATGTCAAACTTCAGCAGATTAAATTTGTCTGTCCGAGAGAATTCGTTCCCCTGACGCGAACATAATCGAATAGAAAGTTACGTGTGTGTTTTATTTAGAAGTGTACGTGTGTAAAATAAGAGTTTTTTTCTTTTAAAACAGTACTTATCTCCAAGAAAGAAAGAAAGTATTTCTTATTATTATAGTACAATAAACACACGGAAGCGCAGTAAACAATAGGAAAAGAACGAGACGCTGCTGTCTATATCGTTTTTTAAATTTAAACTCAGGACATTTTCAAAAAGTATCTTTTCTTTTAATAAAGTCAATCGATATTAAAGCAGATATTTCGCATTCAACAATAAGAAGTACAAAAATTCCGCTATTTCATGCCATCCGCCACGAAACGCTTCGAAGCGTATAAATGCTATAAACCCTGAAGCTGGTCGATCGACCTCCAAGCGTAAAATTGCAATTGCATTTACGTAAACTCGGAAATGTTCGTCGACTTCCGTAACGCCGCTGGATTTTATCGGGCCGTATTACGGCATTTACGATAGTAGGGTATCTCGCGTAAATTGTATAAGGCAATTATTACGAGCGTGTTGCAAAAACTCGGGCGCGGTACCATTAGTTTTTATTTTTCACACGATATCATTTAATTTTATAACGTGCTTAGACGCGCTAGTTCAGTATATATTTTTATTTACAAATTCTATTACATTCTTGTTTGAAGCTGTATCTTCTTTTCTTTTTCTCATATAAATTTTATAAAGAATACCATATATTATTATATCAATATGATTATTATGGCGCACAGACATCTTGTATTGATCCGAATTCCATTTCTAGAATATTTGCTTTACTTATTCGACAAAAGAGAAGACAGAGTTTATTTTAATTAAAATGCTGTATTGCTTTAATCCTGTCATCCTTTGACAAAATTCTTGACGTCAGAGCTACTATAGTAACCTTACTCAATGTAAATATTAATACTGCGTTGAGTTTATATAGAGTTTATATGGAGTTCTATATAGTTGTCTATGTACAGTTGTATAATTTCAATTTGGTTGCAAGTCGCAATTCGTGAAAGTAAGAGCGCTATTGGGCTGTCGTTATCTTCAGTAAACAAACTTATAAGAAGTACGATACATATCGCGAAGCTGCGCGTTTCGTGAAATATGGATGCCTTAACACGATGCTACACATTCATCCTACTTCAGAGGAAATATCTCAGCAGCCTGTATATATGTAGATATCGTTATAAGGAATGAACGAGCCGATATATACATACATTAAAGTTGCGGAAGCGTTCCGGATCATTTATTCGAGAATTTAAATTGGAATTCGCAATCCGTTCTGGGAAACGAATAATTCATATTGCGCGACAGCCGCGCGAGATTGACAAGAAAATATTTTTTTAAAGCGCGAGATTGATAAGAAAATATTTTTTTTTCAAGCGCGAGATTTAAGGAAGAGAGAGATTTGAAGCGTATACATTAAAAAAACTGAAGATTATCCGACAGAAGTGTGCGAAGAAGATATCTGTAGATCGGAGACTTAAAGAGGGCGGCCCTCTTTAAATCTCTGACAACGCCCAGGGGAGAGTAATTTTAATATCGTTCTGGATATTCTGTTTTCATATCACCGGTCACAATTACAAACAAGGAGCGTATATTTTATTTAGCTTTCGACTTCTCGAAGGATTATTCCCGATCCCGTGGCAATGTGGCCAACATTAGCAATATTATTAAATTTACGTGAAAAGAGCGATATTATACCTGAGCTACATTCAAAAACGTTGCTTTCGAAGAAAATTTCACTAAAAAGCTATAGTTTACATAAAATGCAAACTATAACTTTTTAGTGAAATTTTCCTTCAAAGCAATGTTTTGAAATATAGCCCAGGTATATTATCACTTTTTCGACGTAAATTTTATGATATTGCTAATGCCCAGGTATAATATCGTCTTTTTCCAGGATTACATTCCAAAATATTGCTTTCGAGGAAAATTTTACTAAAAAGCTATAGTTTGCATTACGTAAACTAGCTTTTTAGTAAAATTTTCCTCGAAAGCAACGTTTTGGAATGTAATCCTGAAAAAAGACAATATTATACCTGAAATTGAAAAGTAACTATAAAAATTATTTTATCAGTATTTATAACTATTGCGTTTCGTCGCCCGTTCGCAGATTAGAAATTATAAAGTTAAATTATACTTTATGTAATCGTAATTCTTACTATGCAATGATTGATTAAAAATACATGACATTTTAACATGATTCATTATTGATATAACTTAGTATATACGATTGACAATGAGTCGGCTGTAATTAGTTTGCTATTTATACACAATTTTTTTTAATACACAACCTTACAAATACTTTCTAAAAATGTTAAAGTATAAATAAGAATCATTTAATAATTTTTTTTATATTCGTAAAAAAGTGATAAAAATTAATTGAAACACGAACGACCCATCGTGTATAATAAAGGAAAATCATCTATGTACTTATAAACATAAATATTATGATTGTTATAAGCAAATCTACTGATATATTAATTTGCGCTATTTGCTGCATTTATATTTATTTTTCTTCTATGTGACCTTAGAAATTTTTATCTATTTAAAGATCCTTTTTTTATTGTTACTTGCATTTAGCTTTTTTTAAAATGAATAAAACGATGCACTTTAATGTGCACTAGAATTTTATCTAAGAGAGATCTTATCCGGAAGCTTAATTTCCGCCTTCTTTACTTTTATTGTTTTTCCTTTTCTTTTTGCGCATTGTTGCAGTGCGCGACAACATTGACATCTCTGTGAAGATGTCAAGGGTACACTTCATATAAAATTGAAAATAATGCGAGATCTAGTCTCGTAATTGCTGCTGGATAATTCGTTGTAGCGACGAGTATGTTAATTGAGTGCATTAAAAAGTTTAACTTTAAACTTTAAAGACCATGTGAACGAAAGGACGCGACAGTATTAAAAATTTATTTTTAGAATTTATTTTTAGAGGAATATGATGAACGACTAATCATTTTTGATTATTAATTCGGTTCACAGGGTATTTGTTATGGTGACGAATATGTTAATTGAATGCATTAAAATGCTTAAACTTTCTAACTTTAAACTTTAAAGGTCATGAATGAAAGGACACGACAGTATTAAATTCTGAATTTATTTCCAGAGGAATGTGGTGAACGACTAATTATTTTCGACTATTAATTCGGTTCACAGGGTTTTGGCAAAGCTGATCATCAAGTATCGGTCGAGTTATTGAAGAAAAAATATCCCGCCTACAACATCACGTGGTCAGACGATGGCTACTAATCAGGCAGTACATGATGCGCTATCTTGACTTTTATCTTAACAAAATATATATGTATAGGATTGAATCTTGCTTTGTACGTTTATTATATTATTATTTACAGTTACTAATAAAATGTATGTGCGTATCGGAATGAAATTAGATGTATTCTAATTGTTAACTGTTCTAATTATCTAAATGCTTCATGAAACACTACATTATATGAAAATGTAAGCAATTTTGAAATTAAAAAAATTTATTTATATCCTTTAAAATTTCTTCTTTCTTTTAAGACGTATTACATTGTATAAAAATGTGAATAAAGGGAAATGGAATTTTCAGAGTAGTCAGAGTATGGGTGATGAAAAATTTTAGAATGTTAAATTTTGCTTCATTACTTTGCATAGCTGTATAAACTTGAGGGCGCGCGCGTTCTTTCACTACTTTATTAGGAACCAAAGCCAAATTTCGAAATAAATTATAATTATTAAATTCTTTGTGTGTAAAAATAACTCGCATCGATAAAGTTCATTGAAAACAGGAAACGAGCATTCTTCACACATATCTCATTATGTATTTGAGAAATAGATTTATAAAATTGTATTTAATAAAAAATTTTAAAATAGAAATATAGTATAAATAAAATGGTATGAATAAATAATTAATTTACTCATTTTCCACTTTTTCATATTTTATACTATAAAGTTAGATCACAGTAGGTTTGCCGTTTTAAAAAGTGAGTCGCAATCTATGTAAGTATGGGAAGTTTTCAATTAAGTAATTAAAATTAAAGAAATTAATCATTCATTTACATCTTTCTTTAAAATTTATTCTGTCTCTTTTATGGAATCCTATATTATAAAAGATACGTAAATTAGTAATAAAATGAAAGAAACTTTATTCATTTACCTGTTTTTATATTTATGTCCTTCCGGAAGTTTCTTCATGTATAAATTTTTATTAAAATAGTTTAATATATTTAAAATAGTTTTATATTTCTTATATTTTTACTTATATACATTTTCTCTCTCTCTCTCTCTCTCTCTCTCTACTTTGAATCAAAATATAAGCGTATTTATTCGTCCAAAAGAGTATACTTAAAAAGTATTTTATTTTTTAATATTTTTTAATAATTTTGCGCGTGCGCGCGTGTTTTCTAAGAATGATAAGATGGTAAATTGTATTTTAGACCGTGGTTAGAGAGGGAACTTGACGGTATTGCAATATCATTCAACGATAAATGGTTGTCGGTATTTCAGCGGACTAGTAGAGTAGTAATCGGTAACAAGAACAGTCATACTTTTTAAATACAGATTACCGCTGGTCTTCTTGAGTTTTCTTTTTGTTTTCTTGCTGATAACTAGATGACTCCATTATGCAGTACCTATACATAGAATACAAATATATATTAATTATATTGAATTTATTAATAATCGTATACGTATTATGTATAAAAATGTATACATATATGTTAATCTTTGCATTACGTTGAAAATATAATTATTTAAATTTTTTATGTCTAATTTTTAAATTACTAGTAAAAATTTTGTTATGAATCAATTTAATTTAATATTCTAGAGAATAAGAAATTTGATTTTGAAAGAGGAAATTTTTTTATCATTACAATTTTAGTCAAAATATTACTTTGGCAAATTTACTTTACGTAAGCATTTTCTAATTTCATTTATTCATATGTATATTTGTAATATTCGCATTAAGTATAAAATCGCATGATATCTTAATTTTGCCATGTATATTCGAACAGTTGAAATTGAAGAATCGATGTTTATTTTGTAACAAGCGCCGTGCTCAATCATTTTAGACATGTCGGACGTCCGATGAAGACGTTAAAATTTTTTAAGTCATTCTGATATACTAACCATGTTTTCCCGAGCCGCAAAATCAGTCGTGAACTCCCTTGGATCACGCCGGATTCACATTAGCGAAAAGAATTTCACAAAGGTATTCACAATTTAAACAATTTCCGACATACAAAAATTTTCATTTAGTAGTTTCACTTTGTACGGCTCTACCCAATTAATTATATATTTCTATAAATTATGTCGTCTATTTATTTATTTTTCTTCGTTAAATCTTGGTATAATTAAAAATGCTTATTTAGATTACTCTAATTGCCGGCGCTGGAAAAATCAGTCACAACCTATCCCAGTTATTAAGAAATAGTGCAAAATTGAATGCCCTAGCGTTATACGATGTGGCAGCTGTCAATAGACCTTTGCCGAATTACAATTTCTATGATGAACAGTCATTAAAACCTATCGTAAGTGATTCTATTATTCACAATTTGTTTAAGAAAACTTGTTATATGTAAATTGAACAAATTATCATAGTAATTAATAATCATATTCTGATCAAAGAAAGATATTTTAAGTAAAAAAATATTAATTAAATAGCCATTAGAAATGTTAACAATGGAGAAGAAATCTTGTTCGGGCGAAGATAGTCATTCAAATGCAGCAATTAATAATGCGACACAAGCAGACAATAATAATCATCAAGGAAATAATGGAAAGGTAAAGTATAAACTTATTTATTATTTATGCATATGCATTTAAGTATATCAGTATGTGCTAATTTTATTTAATGTATTAATGTAAAAAATTATGGTTTTTCAATAATTATATGCGAAAATGTTTTGCTAGTATTATTAAGTAATAAAATCGATTTTTATGAAATTATAGAAGTATTTTTTATAATTGTTAATACAAGTTAATGAATTTGTCGCCTTTTAAAATTATTTTTATTTATATTTATTATAAAATTAAGATTATTTTTTTGTTTAAAATATATACTTAAGTCCAAAATTAAATAAAGTGGTTGCATTTAAATATGTAAGATTAAATAATATATAAAAGGTTAATATAAAAAAATTTTATGATAAAATAATTGTTTTTTATGTAGAGTCAGACAGAGAAACTTGTAGAAGCTCTTTATCGTTTACCAATAGCTGAAGAAGCTCCAGCATTTAACAATCCATTGATATCTATTGAGGAATTAATGCCAAAGGTAAGGGAAAAATAAATTGTAATATTCATATTTTCAAATTTATAATTAAACTAAGAAATTATTTCAATCGCGTATGATTCACATTTTAATCAATATTAAAAATTTTCTTATACATAAAATTATTTGATAGAATTATTCACTTAAGGAATAAAGTTAAAGTTGAGCGATATTTAAAATTATTCTTATAATATAAATATTAATTAATTCTAGCTGTGGTAGGATGAATTAAATTTGTTGTATATTGAGTATATTAAGCATATGATCGTACGTATGCTCAATATATAGCACATTCTATACAAATTTATTGTATAATAAAAGGCAAATATTAGCTTTTTTATGCAATATTATTTTGTAGAATATTATCAAATAAAATAAAATTATTTTTTAATATCTGCATGTATAAGGTAAACATTATTAAATTTAAAAAAATTGAGAAAGAATCAGAGAATAAGATCAGAGAATAAGATTATATCTGTCATGTTTTTTAAAGTTATTTTATTTTTATTGTATTTTTATTATCTCTTTCTATCTCTCTTCCCCTCCCCCCCTCTCCCTCCCTCCCTCTGTCTATCTATAGATAGTGAAATATTGATTTCCGTATTCATTATTTTAATATCTCAATTTCGAAGAATGTTTTTATTTTAATAATTATCGCAACATAAATTTGTTAAGCTGTATTTCTAGTGTAGTATAATAAGAACCGCAGAATCCGCGTATTCGCATTTATGTGACATATTGTCTTGATATTGATTTCCGCTATTTCTGCAAGATATTGTGCATTGTTGAAGAAATTCTAGATTTCTTCATATTCATGCTTGTGAGATACTTTATTTAACAAGATTTGATTGGACGTTTAAAATTTTTTAAATCATTACATAAATAAAATGAGCAACTGTGGATGAGTGCCGCAGGTTCTAAAATATAATTGTTATAATATAAAGTTTCGAAATCTGATAATTGAAACCTGAAGATGCATGCACTGAAGATATATAAGACGACGCGCTCTCAGATTTTATAAAAAATAGCGAGATATAGACTGGGATATAAAGTTAGCTAATCTACGAATAAAGTTAATCGATGCTGAAGAACCAGCGGTCAAACGTAAATCTTTGAAAGGGCCTAGAGGAGAACTGATCTTGAAATCGTGTCTCCGTCTGTCCTCAGGCGGGCAACGCGTGCGGCAGGATGCGTCTTTATGCCAGAGTCCCGGGTGAGAGGAGTTCCAGCGACAACATGAAAACCTGGCAAAGAGATTACGCCGCCATCCCGATTAGCAAGTGGTTCTTCGACTTGACGTACCCGTCGTTTCGGAAGTACGACGTAAACTTCATTCCAGAAGCGAAAATCGCGCAGGAGCATCGATCGATTAAGAAAACGAGAGAGATCAGACGTCCATCCTGCGGTGCACTCGTTGCGAAAGAAAATAATCATCAATCGTTGCCGACGTCTTTGTTGAATCATGGCGAAAAGTCGGCAAGAAGATTGATGAAGAAATTTAACAACGTCGGTATACCTCCAAATAAAGAAGCACGCTGCGGAGCAGCGGAAAAATTGATCGACCGGGTGATATCGGTAGCGCTATCGAATAACAAATTGAGATTATTACATGAGATCCGCAGTCGCACTAAATTTCCTTTGTCTTCATTAAATTTTATAAGTTACAAACGTGAAAATAATCGCGACAGCGAAACAATGATGGACGATACGTTAAATGTCATTGAACAGGAAAATTGGATTCAGCGAACATGCTCCAAAATCAAATCCATGCTCCCAGGTCTGCACGCCAAAATCGCATCGGATTCGTATTGTTCAGAAAATATTTTCGTGGTGAACCAAGTGATCCGTGCGATTCCGTTTTCCGATATAATTTCCAACGGCGCGATTCTCTTTGCATCGAAGGATTGCGAAGATGATAAAGCGAAGCATAGAGCCGGCATTCGGAAAAAGATACAGGAGTTTTGCATGCAGAAAAGATCTAAAAAGATAAAGAAGAATAAAGACAAGAATGATATTTGTAAGAAAAGACAGAGATCGTGTAAAACGGAGACGGAAAGAAAATGTCAGAAGAAGGAAAAGATATGCGAGAGAAAGAGGATTGATTGTTCCGAGAGAAGAAAACAACGAACATGCAAAAGACAAGACGTAGTTCCTTGCAAGGAGAGAAAGAGCGTTAAAAAAGATGTTCGCGATTGCAGTAAAACTCGCGAGCGAAAGGAGAAGGTCCAAGAAGACCCGTGTAAACAGAAAAAGGATGACGTTACTAGAATAGAGGAAGATCCTTGCCGTGGACAACGTCTCGTGAAGCAAGAAGAAACTTTTTATGAACTGCATAACACAGATCCGTGTAGGCCAGACAAGAAAGAAGAAATCAAGATGAAAGAAGAAATAAAGAAGAAAGAGGAAATAAAGAAACCTGATTGTACAGAAATTAAAGAAATTAAAAAAGATTCATGTGAGAAGAAGCCATGTCCACCTGTAAAAAAGATTCCAGAGTGTTCTGAAGACAAAACAAAAAAAAAAGAATCTTGAAAATATTTTACTTTTATATTGTTTACGTACAAAATGTTTCCTGAAAAAACTCTTTTTATGTAAAGACATTATAGCAGATTGTAAAAAATTTTCAGTAAGTATTAATAACGAAATTTGTGTTAATTTCAAAGTGAATTATTTGGGAAAGAAATCTAATTTATTGCTGTATTTGAAATATACTTTAAAATAAAGAGAGAAAACATTATATTTATAATATCTATTTATAATATCATTATATTTATAATATCTCATCTGTAAAATATATAATACATTTTATTGTAAATTCTGTAAGTAATAATAAATATTATTTTACACAGCATTTTGTGTAGATTTTTCTTAATTATGGAGATTATTTAGTGTAAGTCTAATTAAACAACTATCTGACACGTGACACTTCTTATTTCAGTTACAATCAAAAGAAGAAAATTCTGCTAGGTTGAAAACTGCTAGGTTTCGAGAATCTGGAATAACAGCCGAAGTAAGCTTTATTAATATTTTTCGAAAGGATTTAATTAGTTTTCTTTTTTATTTGATAAATGAATTATAAAATTATAATAATATCTTGCGTATTTTCAGTATATTTTATTTATATTATTTTTGATAAAATTATACGTGATTAAACTAAAGAAATAAATATTCAAAAATACGTTGAAAAATCGCAAAAATTTTCTGTGACCGCTGTGGCTCCACCTCCCTTCTGCCTCTTTTCTCGTTGAATTGGCTACTTTAAGCTGTTCAAAATCTTGCAACGATTATATCTAAAAAAAAGGATATCTTATTCAAATAATGAGTTATTATAAATTTTATTTCTGATCGCTTTGGTCGTGCTCTCTCAGCAGAGAAGAGAGAGGCCAAGTTCATCGATGAAATCTGCGGTAGAAATAGCCGAAAGTGGAAAACCGATCGAATCCAATCAGATCCAAACCAACAGAGATTTTTTGTCGATCATCAATTCACGTAAACAGTTTACGGGAATCAATTTTGTCAAAGATTTCCAGCAAGATTCCAATTCAGCAGTTAATTACAAGGATCGTTCCGATTTTTCTGTTCTGCGTAAACATTTTGTCACTGATCCTCGTCAGTTTGAGAAATCGAAGTTGTCACACGATGACAAACTGGGCAACGACGATTACTTCCCTCAAGGTGAAGAATACGAAGAAGAGATCGGTACAGAGAACTATCAACTGAACAAAAAAGCCCCTAGTAAAAAACCGCCGCGTGTCGACGACAATGTCGACGACAATGTCGATAATTTCCAGCCGACGATGCTGATGTTTGAAAATAACAAAAACGTTAACGGAGGTCCATTAACGAGGTTCATCACGCGCGTACATTTTTCAAGTATCGAAGAACTGTCAGAGGCTGATCGAATAACGCTGATGTCAAAGAAAGTTTCTAACAAGGACGCCGTCGAAAAATTGCAAACTCTGATCGAGAGAGTAACGGAGTTCAAGCGCCGAGTATTTCAACCTAATAAACGCGAAGTATCGAAGACCGGGGGTCACGACAGACGGAAGGAAGGAAAAAGAGATCGTCAGCAACGAGAACAAGAGAAATGAATCGACGAATTGATCGGCATATTAAGCTAGATTATAGCTCCTCTAATTATATTCGTGAACGATATCCGCATTAAATCGTTACTTTCATTCCTTACCCATAAAAGAATACAAGCGCTTTGCTCTTTTGTCGTGTTAAACTCTCGAAAGGAGGGAGGTGGGCCAAGAGCGCTGGTCGGGACTACCGCGAGATTATTGAGGAGGCGCATCAAAATCCTCCACGATTTAATACGTAAAAAAACCAGCAGGCAGTTAGTGGCAGAGTATTGCGGCTAGGTGAGCCAGGATGTGGCGAGGATTCGCCTGGTAAACCAGAAAAGAATCCGTGCGATCCACCCGAGGGCCCCTGTCAGCCCGCCAAGCCACCGGGCTATCCCGCCAAGCCAAAGCCCAAAAGAAAGCCATTCTCCGTTAAATGCCCACCCAAGAAACCGTGCAAGGAAGAGAAATGCTGAATCGCGTCAGTAAGAGACAGAAGGTACGTGGAGGCGTCAGCGGCTGTTGTAAATACCGTTTGTTCGACGGAATCGGAGAGCTATTGTTATTTCTAGAAAAATATAGATATGTATATTTCTTTCTCTTCATCTCTTTTTATGAATCCCGTAGGCAGTCAAGAAGTTAATGTTCGTACAAATGAATGGTTTCCTGAAAAATCTACCGAGAACCTTCTTTGACACCGAGATCTTTGGAACAGGAGGATTAGGATTTAATCGATGGAACCATAAAATCTGTTCAATGAATATGCTCAACTCATGCTTGACTTGCATAAGAGATTTTAGTTCCTGCAAGAACGAGCCTGGAAACATCCTTTTAAGGCATAAAGCATTCGGTTCGATTCACGAAAAATTAAGAAAACCATTTTTAAAGCGTTCGTTCATGACAAAATGTAAACTACCGCTTCCAAGTAAACCAGCGTCAACAATGTCAGTCTACTATTCGACGGCCCTGCCCTTTAGTCTACCATCTTTCAAATCGTATTCATTTAATAAGAAATATGTTCTACCATCGCTGCCTTGTCATCACGAATCAATCAATTTGCTACGCTTCGATTTATATCTTAAATTCGTCAAGAAGCCGCCATTTCCAAAAATTCATCGTGAAAAAGATTCACGATTTCTGGAACATCCGAAAACCTTAAAGTCATTAACACCTTCTAAGTGTCTCAAATATCTATTAAAGCGAAAACTTCTACCTCCGAGATTTTGCAAACAATATTCTTCATCACCTCCTACGTCTTACTTATCTTGTCGCCACTCGCTTTCGCAAGATGTTTCCAAACGTATGCAGAAAGCATTCAAGAGGCTTTCAAAATTACAGGGAAGCAAAACACCTAAGACGTTCATTCATCGCGATCCCATTTTCTTGCATAGCGTTCACCGACGAGGATTTCACAGCTCTTTGTTCCCGCTCGCCAAATCAGACTCCACCAAGCCTCCCGCTTGCGAGAAGATGGATAAAATTTGCAAGACCGAGGTGACCGAGGTGAAGAAGACCGATGAGTGCGGTCGACCTTGCAAGAGAAAGAGCGACATTTGCAGCGAAAAGAGGGTCAAGTGCGATAAGTCGCAGCGAAACAACGAGAAGGCGAAACAAACACCGAAGACAGAAAATAAAATCGTGGATCCCGAGTGCAAGAAGACTTGCCTGCCGATAGGCAAATGCGTACTGCCGCACCTTGTCCCACCGCCGAAGATGGAGTACGCGAAGGTAACGTGTCCCCCGTTGAAGTTCGTGAAACCTAACCTGTGTCCGTTGATATCCTTCCCGAAGGATGATAAATCTCACGCGGAGATTAAACAGACCGTCACTCGAAAGAAGCAAATATGTGCTCCGCCACCGCTGCCGAAGCCACCGTACGCACCTATCGTGCTCTGTCCCTGTCCACCACCGCGCAAAGTACACCCCGGTGCGTGTCCGTGCTATGAGGCGAAGGTGGTCGCTAAGCGAGCCTCGAATCAACCGTGTCCGAAGAAGAAAAAATACCCCTGCCCCACTGGCGTGCACCTTTGTCCTCCGCAGGTGAAGCCGTGCAATCTAAAACGGGAGACTAGCTGTGAACGTAGGAAGGGGAAGAAGGCATCGGCATCTTGAAGAATCGCACAAGAAATATGGAGCACAACATTGGTTATTATTTTTTGGTTACATTATAGTCTAGAAAAATTTTTAACAGAAAAGTTAATCTATACATTGAAGGAGTTTCAAATGCCAAATAATTAAAAAAAATTGAATATTGTTTTGAATTATTTTACGAGAATAATTATTTTACGTACAAAATGTCGATCTATACATGTAAATTGCTTTTTGTCAAAGATGTCGGTATTTCCATGAAATAATGACTGATTATTGTTCAACTATGTATGGACATTGTGCGAATTTTGTTTTTATCAAGTAATGGAATGGTAAAAGGAACCGGTTTTATAGAAAAATCTTAAGGCGAAAATGAGCATAAATGTGCGCAACCGTGATTTCTGCGAGATCTATGAAATTAGAGATTCGGTCTCCTGGATCGATAATTGTCAACATTTAAGGCCGACTCGTTCATCTTCCGTCAGCTCTGCGATTAATAGTGTATCCATTTCTCCGTTCAATAATTTTATTTTATCTTACTTGTAATTTTTTTTTTTCAAGGAAGCACCACTGATCGCGAGAGTTTAGTGCAAGGTGAATAAACCGGCTGTCGATGCATGTTGCTTGTCGCGTGACTAACGGATTATCTATTCTAAAATTATATATGCTGATAATGCTAATGCGTGTGCATGTTTCAGCGTAACATAGAAAGATTATAACTATAAATGTTAGCTGCAATTCAATAAATGTGTGTAATATTTATGGAAAAATTAACTTAAAAATATAAACATCGTGCAATAACGTCCACATGTTATAAAATAAATTTGTCGTGGACGATTTGAAAATTGTTGTACATAAAATTTTAATTTACACATTTTTTATGAATTATATCAGCATAAAAAATGATTAATTTAAACGATTAATTTAATTAAAAGAGTTAAAAGAAAGATTTCTTTTGTTACTTTGAGTAGAAGTTTGTTGGTCATGCGGCATCCGATGTGCATTTTATTAATTTTTTTTAAAGAAAAGTTCAAGTCTAAATTTAAATAGATCTCGCAGCTAATTATACAAGCGAAATATATTGTTTACCCTTTGCACGCATTCCACGGATTAACATCCTAATGCTCTTGCGGAAAAGCGGATAAATATAGCCGACTAATCGATACGAATGAATCTGCCATTAAATTTATGGAACGAGCTTGAGAATTAGATTTATATCTTTTTCTATTATTCAGTATTTTTTTTAACATAAAACATAGATGTACAAGATGATAAATGCTAGTGAATAGTTAAAAAAAATATTTGTCAATAAAATTGAATTAGACTCAAATCTTTTTCTGTTATTTAGTTTCTCTCATATAAAACGTATACAAGCTGATAAATGCTTATGGAAGAATTAAAAAAAAATGTTTATCGATGAAATTGAAACAAATTTGTAATATAGAGACAGGCTTTTAGAGTTTATACATTATATACATGTAGAAACACTTCAACTGCACGTTTATCGATCGATTATGTATTCCCATTTCATCAGCAACCCACATTTTGTAAATAAAATCTTGTCTATTAATATTATTTAACACTGGCTTTTTTTCGAATGCAAGCATGCGACTTCAGCAGTTTTTATTTTTTCGGGAACTTGCGCGCAGAAGAGACGGTTATAGATTTCGATGAAAGCCTCGTTTCGCGAGTTCGACAACCATCTCTGCTCAACGATGGGTCATATCCATTGCTACGATGCGTTCTAACAGGGGATATGCGGGGTGAAAGGGGGAAAACGAACAGAGCGGATTGCCGTGAATAGAGAAAATCGATTTCTACCGCTGGTGATCGGTTCTAACGTTTGATTCGATTCCCGTCTGTGTACGCGATAATAATCGCGGCTGTACGTGCGACACCGTGCCGCTTCTGCCGGTTTCGAGCGTATATATCACGCGAGTGTGTGCGTACGGGCGAGCGCACGATACGAAATCGGCATCAAAAGCGTCTCGTTACAATAATATCGACATTTATATACGACGGGGGTTTCGGGCCGGGAGGAAGTTTGGCCGGGCGGCGGAAAGACGAAGGTCTTTATCATTTTATTATTGGGGGTGTGGGTGGGCAACCCTCGCCCCTTCTCGGAACGACGCTTTACTTTTACCTCCCATTGTCTGTCCCCCGAGTCGGGCCTCGACGCCCTCTTAAAGGCTTAAGCGCCGTTTCCAAGCGCCCAATAGGATAATCTAGCCTCTCCACCACGCTTCCTGTTTTTATTAAAATGAAAGTGGCGCCGGTCGTTTGACGTTCACGCCGTTCGTGCCACGTAAACGTTTAATTTTGTTAAAGTTTGTCATTTCAGAAAACTCTCTAATACAAATATAAATTATAAATAGAATTATATGTGTAGAAAGTTATACAAATAGCATTTTTTGTTCTCATCATGTGATTTGATAATAGACTACAAAACAAAAAAATATTTTGGTGACATATCGTTTGATGTAAGAAAGATTATCTAATTTTTATTAAGAGCAATACAGATTTCAATAAAAACGGGATATACATTCCGGTATAGTATTATATCAATTGCCGGGTATCCAAGAGAGCGGTCTCAGCCGAAATCGCTTTCGATGAGAGAGTTATCTCGCGCTCGCGGAAACTTCTCCCACGGCGTTCTCCTCGCGCCAGGTTTCACCGGTGCAAGATATCGCGAGCATTATCACGGGCGTTCACCGTGATTGGTCGGATTCGAGGGTATCGTCTCTTTTTCCACCCTCTCGCTCGACCAATAAGTGACGTTTCCAGCCGAGAAAGGGTGCGGAGGGAAGGGAGCTCGAAAGGGGGTGGCAATTCGGCGAGAGAGACGAGACGTGCAATGTTCCGAGGGGGTTGCGAAGGAGGGAGACGAGGAGGAAGTGAAGCGATAGGGGAAGAGGAGGAGGAAGAGGAGGAGGAGGAGGAGGTGGAGGAGGAGATGGAGGACGAGGAGACGGGAAGGGGAGAAAACTCTCTGCGTGGAAGAGAGCCGAGCGGGTCGGGCTTCTCGGTGGAAACAAGCGGGATGGATAAACTTCGGAGCGACTGTCCCCGAGGCTGATGCATAATTCAGGAATCGTCACCGGCGAGGATATTGCCAATTTGGCGTCGATGAAAATACGATCGGATTTGTGTCGGCTACCGCCCAGAATGGGGCTCGCTCGCCAGGATACACATCCAGTGAATTTAACACCTTCGCCCGACCGACCGACCGCCCACCCTGCCGTGCGTAATTGCATCGCGACCAATCGCGCGGGCTGCCGTACACACGATCGCCTCTCTAATAGCGTTCGCCGTTTTCACGCCGTTTCCGATATGGACGGGGAGTTAAGAGTTCTGTGACATTGCCGCCGGACAAATTACGGCATGGCGCGGTAGGTCTGCGCGGCGCTTTATCGCCGCGCAGCGTCGCGTCGTTTGCGCGGCGACCGTAACGAACGGTGAAACGCGATGAGATATAATATAGAAACGAAGCTCTACTAAGCACAGGAAATTTGTTTCAATCAATTTTGTTCCAATCAATTCAATGTATAATTTTCGAACCGCAAATATTCAGGCAACATTATATATAGGAAATTTATTTTTATAAAATAATTAATATTAAATACATTTAAGTTCTTTGATAATTTAATTATACCTTCAGAACATATTTTTATATATGCTTTAGATATTACACAAAACCGATTGCTTCGATAAAAAATCAATATTCGTTGTAATCTATATATCCTTTTATAAGGAACAGTAAACGTTACGGTGGATTTTAAATAAATCGATGTTTACTGTGAAATACTTTAACGTATTGATCAATACTGAATACGATTTCTTCTTTTAAATTTAAAGGCTTATATTGAATATTCTGTATACTTTTTTTTTTTCAAAACGGCGATGGTGCGATTCTGATACTGATTGATGAAAGATTATCGGTTTTCCATGGTTTTCGCCGCAAGAATTTTCGAGGGTGGCAGTCGAACAGCCCGTATAAAGAAGGATCGTCCGACGTTCGACGATTTTCCACGGATGTGGGGACAACGCGCGGCATGAAATATTTATAGGAAGGGGAAAGAGGAGGGGGGAACAAGAGATATATATCGGGGTACGATGAAAAGAATATATTCCGGATCGATTCAATTTGTCAACGCGCCGCTAATTGCGTTATTATGCCACTCCTTTGTGCCGGAAACGCCTCGATCATCAATAATCTATAAAAACTTGGCGTTGATAGCGATGAATTGGTGAGCGGAGAGAGGATTCACGGAGATTATGAGAGGATTATGATTTCCTAACGCAGCTTAGATTAATGAATGGAAGCGATGGCAGCGAGTTTTTTTGGTCACGGGGTAATTGAGTTGCTGGACGAAATAGCGTAAATTGTATTTTCTACATTAAGAAACCAAAGTATTTGTGAAAGTACAGAATCGACCATTAATTGATTAACGGCAATCGACCATTACTCCATTAAAAAAACTTTTGATACAAAAACGTTTTTAAATATAAATAACATTTTAGAATTTTAGAATTTTTTAACGAAAAAATTCAATATATTTAATTTCTTATAATTTATTAATAATGAGGATTTCATGCAGTTCATTTATGTTAAATTGGAAATATCGTTTTTTAAAGATTTTTTATAAAAAAATTATAAAAAAAAAAATAATGACGTGGGAGAGGAGCCAAGTTGAAAAAAAATGTGGCAGTCTTCTTGTAAATTTATTCGTTGGACGGACGAAGGGCTTGGTGACTTGGCCACTGGGTACCAGAAGGCGGGAAGAGTCGAAGATTTATGATACCGGATGCGCAAATACGGTGAAACTTCCCCGTATCCGGAGTGGCGAAAACTTTTGTCGGTGTACGCCTGGCGCCTTTCCTTTTTTTTTTCGATCCGCGATTGCTAAAGACACATTTTTACGCGAAGATATGAAGAATAACGACAAAATTCCATCGATGTTAATTTTTGAAATTAAATTGATTATGATTAATTAATCGTTCAAAGTGTAAGATATGATAACTATAATATTTTTAAATTAAATTAATTTGCACTCTTTAGGCTAAATTTAAATTGTCTTTTAATGTCTCTTAATTTTTACATTATCGGAAAGTGTCTTATAATGATATTGTCAAAGAATTTATTATATACTATATAAATATTTCTCCATATGTTTATTTTGTGTGTGTGTGTGTGTGTGTGTGTGTATGTGTATTACAATATATTTACAGTATATTATTTATATATTTTTAATTTAGAAAATATTTATTAAAATTGATCTCTCACTTTTTTAATAACGATGTCGGCCACTCTAGCCTGTGTCCCAAATGACACTGAAAATTCGAGTTGTTCAAGTTGTCAAAGTTCTTTCGGTTCGATTTGCGCGGGAGGATCCACGGGAATTTCAAGCGAACAGGGAGTCACGCTATCGGACCGGAGGTTAAATTAGATTTCGTACTTCCGGGACGTTGCAAGAACCTTAAAAGAGGAGGTAAGCGCGGGCAAACGTCCTCCTTTCCTGTGCCTCTCGACAATCTCGTTCGCTTGTTTCTTATTTGTTTCCCGCGGTCCTGTAGTCGAATCGGCTAACTTGTTTGTTCGAAGGCTTTGCCAGTTTTATGCAATATCTTCTCTACGACTTCGCAGATTTATGGCTGTGACGGAGAAAACGTGTAAGTCTTGCGTTTTGAAATCAAGGAAATACACTACTATTTTACCTTTGATATCTTTTAATGTTATTGATATAATTACTCATGTCATCATTTTCATTGTACTCTATTGTATTTTTTTTTTATTATCGTACATTTGTTGTATACTATTTTATTATATTTGATATTTTTATTATACTATTTTATGCTTTGATTACATTAAGCAAACATTCTTTCAACTGAGATTTTATATCACAGAATTGTTGTCACTTTTGTTTAATTTCGCCTTTATTAGTATTTATATCTGACAAGTTATAAATTTTTATTTTTTTTGAAAATGTGAAAAAAATATAAATGACACGACAATAAAAATATATGATGACGCCATTGAAACGATACGTGTAGTTTACATTATTGATGAACACGATCCTAAAGCGTGCTTCTCTAGAAATGGCGACTAGAGGGTTTAATACTCTTGAAACGTAGCCAGAGAAGTGTCGATTTCACGTGGTTCGTGGGACCGAGCTTTCGAGGACTTTGTTACGTGTCCGGAACGAAGAAAGGGTGCGCTCGCGAAGAAAATTTTAAGGACTCAATTCGCGTTATACTCTCGACACGGAGTAAAAGCAAGAGGTTACCGAAAAGTACCGTGCAGTAACAATAGACGATGTTCTTGATAATAAAACAGCAAGTACATGCTAGCAATAATATCTTGTTATTGTAATAAATATCTTACGTACGTAAATATCTTACAATATTTTAAATAATAGTAACGATTTTTATAAATCCTTAATTATTGCAATATTATTATTAAGAATTGTATTTCATATCAATTGCGTTCGTTGTTTAAATAGTATTTTGTTTATTCAATTTTTATGTAATTAACGTGTTACAATAAAATTAATTACAATTATAACTTTATTATTGAATTATA